GTTTGAATGCGGTGTCTTCGTTCCTCGAGATGCAAATTCCTGCCTGGCCGCGCAGTGCCCGCGCAGTGCCCGCGCATTTAGCGTCCAAAGCGTGTGAAAGTTCGGGGCGCCCTTCGGGGTGGGAGGACGCACCCTAGCCTTGGCGGAGGAGCTAAACACTCTGCAAGTTGCAAAACGATGTTTGCAAATCCGTGCTATTTTTAAAGGGCTGCAAATTTGAAATGACGAAATTAGAATGGTGCTACCTAAAGCTTGGTCACGACAAAGCGACACAGTTAAACTTTCATTGTTGTTCCTTTTGAGGTTGCATCTTTCACTGACTCAGTGCACAGCTTTCGGTTTACACCACCGGGCCTCCAACACGTGCAGATTTTTCTCCTCCGGCGCTGGGCTGACCCACAGGCCCAAGGAAGGTGTCCTTTGTCCGCCGTGACGTCACTTTTTGGCTCGGGGCCCGACCTAGTGCAAGCCGCCACATGCCAGCCAATCAGACGCCGATAAATCTTGCCTCCCCTCCCCGACCCATTTCCGGTCGCTGATACCGTTCTGGTGCGGTCAGGGCGGCGGCGGCGTGGACCAGTGGACCAGCGCGCCTTGGGCCGAGACAGCCGAGGCGGCGTGGCTGCTGCACGTCTATCTCGACGGCCGAGGAGTGATAAAACTGTTTATTCTGCCGTTCGATTTACGGGCCCAGAATGAGGGTGTGCTCGCGATGTTTATCATTTTTTTGGTGTCTGGCATTTTGCTGTGGTGAACGCATGATCACAAAAAAAAATCGTGTTAGATCATGACCGTTGAAGTGACGAGGGATCTGGTAATTTTAAGTCTTTCAGCAGCAGTGGGCCGCTGTCCCCTTTTGCAGTGCAGTGTGCATCAACGGCAGTCCGCGGGGAAGAGGGTCCCGCCGCGCCGATTTGGGTGAAATATATTTATTCCGCTTTATCCGTGGCCCCCGACCGTCCCGACTGTCCCGTCGCCACGCCTGACTTTTCCTCTTGGACTTTTTTTTTTATTTCCGTCGCTGTCGTCCCGCGTCCGTCCGTGTTACGCCAAACCAAGGTGACGCAGCGGGTGGACTCTCTCTCCCTCTCTCTCCTCCTCTCTCTCTCGCTGTCTTAGTCGTTTCCCTCCTTGCACCTTTCTTGTGGTCTTTCCTCCCAGACCTCTTCTCCGATCCTCTCATTGAAAGTCTCTTCTAATGCCGCGCTCAATCCTCTCCCACCTTTCCCTCCCACGATCTTCTCCCACGATCTTCTCCCACGCTCTTCTCCCACGATGTTCTCCTCTCCGCCCCACCCCACCTCTCGATCCGCTCTCTGCCTCCCCCGATCACCGTGCCTAGTAGATCATGGCGAGCGGTTCCCCGGTGGCAGGAAGACCAGGAAGTGCCGCCTGGAGAGGAAGGAGATTTACTGAGCAGAACCACCCCTCCCTTTCCCCACCTCATCATTCCGTTCCCGACCTGCCCTCCACTAATAAATCTAATTGCGTTGGCCAGTGTCTGAGGCGAAATCCGCGAACGCCGCCATTTCGCAGTGGCGCGTTCTGCATGCGATATCGCGGGGATCTCGGCCGCGCCACACACCGGGACTCCTTCCATAAACCTTCGCGAAAACCCTTTTTGCCGTTCATTTATAACCCGGCGGGTTTACAAGGAGGAATGGGGCCTGAGTGCATCGGACCGTTTTTCGAGGGAGCCCGCCACAAGCCTCTCCGTCGCACCGCAACAAGGCGTCCTTGTCGCACCCTTAACTGCCGCGACGCGTCTCGGCTTTCTCACCGCCTGCGTGGCGCGGCGCGTGGCGAGCATTCGTGTGAAAGTGAGAAATCCTCTCGCACCAACGAAGACATATTCACGTATGCTTTCTGCCGATGCGCTGCGTCGCCCCTCGCAAAGGACTCGCCGGGGGGCCGCCTCAAAGAAACTCCGGCCGGCTTAGAGTTGCCAACTCCTTGAGATTCCCGCCGCATACCGCCGGGCCACCGCAGGGCTAGCCCAGGGTACCGCAGCTCGCCGCAGCTCCAGATCCCCGCAAGAAATTGACCGCCACGCCGTCGGCAGGTTGGCCAAGTTGAGCCGGTTTTTCATTATCATCCGGTTGGCAGCCGCGTAAAACACTCCGAAGAGGCTTTGGACCGAGTTCGGTGCACCGCAAGCCCCTTGGTAGAGCGTGTGCGGGGTCTTTGAGGACGGTGGCGACTTGATTATGACTGATGATGGTTTGCGTGTTTGAGTTGACTAAGGCGTCTGGACGAGAGTCAACAACCGCAGCAAATGTTTCATCAATGGTAGGCGCGCTGCGGAGCTCATTTCGACCGCGAATTCGTCTAGTTCATCATTTGCACTATGTGCGTAGTCAAACGACTATGCGCGCACACATGGCAACCCCACTTCGGCTCCAGGGCAACGTTCGGCTGTTTCACGGTCCGTCGAACAGTCAACACCAGCCAGGAACAACTCTGTGAGGGGCCTTGTGGGGGAGACGGGGCATGCGCTGTCGCCGCAATACGAAACACTCTCCTGGAGGTACATAGTGTAAACCACCCCTTACCAACCCTCTTCGAATACCGCCTGCACCGGATAAGTTTCTCAACAGCGCCAGGCCTGCATCAAAGCCGATTTTTTTAAATGCGCGCCGAATTATGAGGAAGGCCGGGCTGGGCAATACCTATTATGTTGGTTCGGATTTCGGACCGTCGTCTGCCCCACCCTCCCTTTTTACCGCGTTTCCGTCACCAAGTTTTAAAAACTTTGTAAAGGGACCCATCGATCCGGCGACACCCCTGTCACACTGCCTCCAGGAATGAGTAAAGTGAAGAGAGAGTTCCACACAAAGCATCCCTGCGCCGGGCAGGCCGTGCAGAGGCCAACAGCGCGTGAAGTGGGGCGGGCGGTGCAGCTTTCTGGTATTCACACACCACTGTGTCTTCCTTTGCGCGGCCCCGCAGCGCCCCGCAGCGCCGGCTGCACTGTAGTGTCGCCGCTCCCACCTTCTGCCCCGAAAGGGGCCCCCAAAAAGGGCATCAAGAGAGAGAAGGGCGCAAAAAGACGAGGAGTTGTCGCAATATCACAGCGCGCTAGCTGCGATGCGGCGCTCAACATCCTGCAGCGATGGCGCGCGCAGCGGAGCCGCGCCGGAGCCGTCTCCGACGATTTAAAAACAGACGAGACGGATAGTTTGATGAAAGAAGAAAGAGTTTCATCCTTTAGCCGCTCCTCCCTTTTTCGCGCGCCAAGGGTTCCCTCTTTCTCCTTTGCGCCCGACAGTCACCCGCTCTCGACGGAGATGAACGCCGGTTTCTTGTGACGGCTCCCTTTTTTCCCCGCGTCTTTTTCCCGCCATCTTCATTGTTTTAAAAAATAACCTGTCATTGTCGCACGCACTGACCATCCTTAGCGAGCATTGGACTCTGCTTTAATATCCAGCGTGACCCTTTTTCCTGCGAGTCCCGTCCCGACTGTAATTATCCTCACCCCCCGCAAAAATGATTGATCTTTCCGCGCCGCTGTGCTCCGCTGTGCTCCGCTGTGCTCCGCTGTGCTTGCAGCGAGAGCTTTCGAATCGGACGCGCGACGGAAGACCAAGTTTAGCTTCCTTTCGGAGAGCGCGCGCGCTCCTCTGCACTTCGGCTCCACTTCGGCGTCCTCTCGGCCACGCTCGGCTGGGTCATCGCCCCGTAATGAATTTTCACGACTTGGTAATGACCCAACGCCAAAGCACCGACTGCAGGGCCAGCCTCGACCGGACGGGCAGGGACCGCGCGTAAGCCGGGTAAACCACGCGCCGACTAACCTTCCCCAACCGGGCGGCCGGCCGCAAGCGTGCAAAGTCCGCGTGGTTTATGGAAGGGCCCGTAGCGCCAGCCAGATTTCAACGGCCTAACCTTGTCTTGAGTTACTGCTTGTACGAGGACTGGCGCTGTGTGCGTGACCGTGAGGGGGATGGAATTCGGGATGGGGTGGGGGTTGCGGACGGCCGGAGGACGGCCGGGCCAGGCTCTGTCCGTGCCGTACCTGGGGTGCAGTTACAGTTTGCCCAATCTCCAGATGTAAATTAAAGCTATATTTTCTCCAGCTTCAGAGGGGCCTTAAAAATGTAGTCGTGTCTTATGGCGATGTTCTTCAGACATTTATACCTTGGAGATATTTTTTTTTTGACGAGTGACGTTTTTTCTCGTCTATACAGGACACTCGACGCTCGCTCTTTCCAGTGCTGTAATTTATGTAGCTTCAGTCGAGCGTATCAGGTTCAGGTGTTGTTTCAACCCACGAAATGTCGGGCTGTCCTTGGTTCTGAAAGTTTATCCTGACCAGCGCTTTCTTTACGCGAGTCCTGAATGGGAGCGGTCCAGGGCATTGTGTGGCGCGACTGCAACGTACTCACGGCGCGTTTGCCCCGCCTTCCAGGAGAAGTTCGGGTATGAGTTCCGGGGTGCGCAGTTCCTGTCCAAACAAAGTATTTGACGCCTTGCTGGGAATCAAGCCATTCGCGCGCAGACACAATGAGCAGTGGCCTTGCCGGCCCACGGCAGCCCTCGGCCCCACGGCACGGCCATGCACTCCGCTGCCCCTCCCTGATGAGTTTCTACTTAAACGGCGGGGTCGAGGCGGCCCAGCGCTGAGGGCTGGAAGGGTCTGGTAGCAGGGTCAGGCCGTCCCGCAGGGCTCGCAGGGCTCGCAGGGCCAACCCAACCTTGCGGTCCTGCAAACCTCACCGACATCGCCGCTAGTGCCTCCACGCTCCCCACCCCCCGTCCCCACCTCGCCAACCCCATTCCCCGACAAAGACGGAACTATGCCCGCCCACGGACGCTGACATATTTTGTGGCCGTCTCCGCCATCCAGGACGCGACGCGCTCCTTAAATCGACGAACAAGTATCGCGTCGTCAAAGTTCCGCCGCGCGTCGGAAACTAAGTAATGGCGCATCACTCAAAGCAGGCAGCTACACTCCACGGCGTGTAAAGGCCGACACTTCTAAGAGGTTTCTTCTTTTTCAGATGTCACGGGACGACATCCTGATCGCGTGCGAACACAAAACGGGTAAGATAGCCGTCTTTAATTTTAACGTGAATTAAGAAACAATTAGAAGAACGTCGGACCGTTCCTTCAAGCGACAGCAAGTTGTGTTTGCCGTGTCTGGTCAATCCAGCATCTGTCCGTGCATTTAGGAGGACTGGATTTGCCCGCGGCACGGAGCAAGATGTCTGGTTTGTGTGCCCTTGACTTGGGGCTCGGGCTCGGTCCAGGCCGAGACAGATTTATAAGACCCCTCCCCCAGTTCGAGCCGGGGCCAGGTATGATTCCGTTCTCCCCCTCGAACTCTGCGACGGTCATGGTCAACTTGAGCAAACCCCCGGCTGAGGCTCCGGTAACTACCCCTCCAACATCGAGTTGCCGATGCCCGGCTTTGATCTGACGGGGACTCGGGCAGTTGTTCTGGCGTGAGAACCTCCCGGCACCCACAGAACGGGCCCCACTTCCCTCTGCCTGGAACTTCTCCTTGGCGCTGTCATCTTTATACAGGCCTGGCCGGAACACATGCAGGCCGGCTGACCGCAGGCAAGCCAGGCCGGCCTGGCCGGGCACTCGGCGGCCTCAGTGCTACGTCAGCCAGTCCGGCCGGCAAGTTAGCCACAAAGTGCCGCGCTGGCCAACCAAGCCAGGCCCCAACTCGTAAGTACCACGCCGGATGTGGGCACGCGTGCGTGTGGGTGTGGGGGAGAAGGACAGTGGCGGGATGAATGTGTAGCTGCATGGGCACACCATGGGCCCACGCAAACACCACTGCCAACTACAGCAAGTAGCACGCCCTTCCTAGCCACAGTGCTGAAAAGCGGTGCTTAACAACTCGGGCAGCTTGTTTTGCTGCATCCCCCCCCCCCCGATGCCCCACGGTGCAAGACGCCTTCCGATTGGACAGTGCGGCCCGTAGTCAGCCACCCTGGAGCCCCCTCTCTAGAGCCTGTACTGCTATGACCAGTAAAAACTACGACTGCAGCTTGTGGTTTAAGGAAGGGTGAGGAAAATTCCTCGGCCCATCCCAAAGAAGCACGAGGGACCTCTGCGCCTCAGTCTCGGCACCCCACAGACGAACAATTCGGGACATAGTCGGGGCTCCGCCCGCCGCGGCGGCACCAACTAATGGTGTCACAAGTGCGCGGGACCGAACATTGTCCGTTCGGTGGGTACGCGGTCCACCAAGTTGTGCGGCCCCTTGCCCCGGCGGCGCTGCAGTAGTAGTCGATACTCCCCTGCAACAAGCAGCTATCTACGCTCACTGTCTCGATAACCGACTATCTACGGGCGCTCTCCCGACAACCGGCTATCTACATGGGCTGTCTGGATAACCGACTATCCAACATCGTAGCGAGGTTAGGGTTGTCGTATAACGAAGTATTTTTCTCCATGACACTTAAAGCGACCCGTTTACACCATACTTAATCTTGCTTTGACAAACTTTTGACAAGTTTTGGTAAAGGTTTTGCGAGGGCAACTTAATTGGTTGGATAAATAAAAGCATTCAATCTCGCGAGGTGGAGAAAGCAGATAGTCGGTTATCCAGACAGCCCGTGTAGATAGCCGGTTGTCGGGAGAGCGCGCGTAGATAGTCGGCTATCGAGACAGTGAGCGTAGATAGCTGCTTGTTGCAGGGGGGTATCGTAGTGTGGTATAAGTTTACATCATAAAGGTCGACCGTGTCGCAGCGGCAGCTAGAGGCGCCCTTGTGATGGAGTGGACCGACCGCTGGCCAAAGCGCCAGTTCCCTCGGCGATGCCCTTGGCCCCGGCCGCTTTTTTACAATGCTAAGCCACACACACACACACACACACACACCAAGACACAGGGACAAGGCGGGGAGAGTGACAAAGAGGGGTGGTGTGGTGTTGCATGGTTTGGCGTTGAGCCCGCTCTATATACAGTATGTGCCTCCTGCTAGGAGGTCATAAGACGGGTGGGGGGAGGGACGGGAAGGGGTGGGGGGAAGTTCTTAACCGCTTATCGGCCCCCAGATACAATAGGGGGAGTCGTAGAGGAGCCTTATCTGGCCCGTGCGGACTTGTGAACGAACCATTGCCGGATCCAGGCCGATGGTGTGTAAAGACTGTCGCCAGGCCCCGTGGGGGCCCCGTGGGGGGCTGGGTCGGGCTGGGTAGGGCTGAGGGGGTGGGTTAGGTCCTGGACCGTGGATAATGCGGAGGTGCCGTGTGGGGGAGGGGGAGGGGAGGCAGGCCGCTCTCGTGTTACTACACAGCTTTTAGCTTGCGGCCGGGCCGCGGGCGGTTCCGTCTGCTCCCCATGCCGAGGTGGGCCGGCCCGGCAACGCCCGGCGACGCCCGGCAAACAGTCAGAACAAACTGATCCCAGAGGCAGACGGAGCGGCGGCGCGACATGAGGGATACATTTCACTAAACAAGAGGGCGCGTGTGGATTTTATCACGGCCGGTGTTTGCAATCCAGGCTCCGCCTCTCTTCCCCACTCCCAGCCCACACCCCAGCACGGTCATCAAGCCTCGACACATTTACTCGGTATCAGTGGTTCTGACATCATTTTTGTCCTCAAAATGTTGGTTTTACATTTCAGAACGACTCGCAAATGCAAATTCCAGGATGGTCCCCACCGACTCCCGCTATCCTCTGGCCGCTGACTGCGAGGCCACATCACGCGGCGACGCGTTGCAGGCTGGCAGGCAGGCACCGCCTCGGCGCAATCCTGTTCGAAAATACGAGCAGCTTCGTGTGACGCCCGACCCCGATGTTCATCCCCCTCGTTCGGTGCGCGGGCACCGCCGCCACGCCCAGCCAATCACAGTAAAACTTGAAGGGACGGCTGCCAAAATGCAAAGCAGCCGTACCAGCGAGTACCCGATGGCTTGCCCGATGCGGCGGCGAGATAGTACGGCGCGTTCGCGAGGCGCTGCCTGCGCTGCCTGGGCCTCCACTGGGTGACGTGGGCCGCCTGGCCGGCAACGCCCTGCCGCACACCCTCTTTCCAACTCTCTCTCTCTCTCTCTCTCTCTCTCTCTCTCTCTCTCTCTCTCTCTCCCCTCTCTCTCTCTCTCTCTCTCTCTCTCTCTCTTTTCTCCCCCCGGGACCCGGCTGACGCGGAAACCAGTGTGCTCCCCAGTTTTATTGATTTTTAACTAGTTTGGAGGCTTTGAAACGCCTACAAATATTTTCCCAGGGAAAGTTAAAGAAGAAACCACCAAGATGTGATAATAATCACAGCCTTTTGGTGCTCTTCTAGAGGATAAATCTACAACAAAAAACCCCATCAGCCGGCAACGGTCACAGTCATGGCGTCCCGCCAGGCTCTGGCCGAGCTCAACAACAACCATAAAAACAACCCCACCGTCCTCAGCGGCAACTCTGGAATGACATCTTGGCTAAAGACTTCACCCAAAACCATCACCAGCAATCCAACAAACCTTCAACAAGTCATCCACAAACAATTCATCAGTAAGTCAATTTGAATCGACTCACGTAGTTCTGAAAGTAGCCGCGGGTCCTTTCCCCGGGATCCAGCATGGCGGCCGCCATAACCCAACTGCCCCAACCCGACCACCAGGGGCCATCAGTCAAGACTAAAAGAACGCCCCCAAACCCAAAAACAACATCGGCAGCAGACGAACTGATGAAGCAATCAAACAAGTTCAACAAATTATGTGCCAACAAAAAAGTGTGCAATAGTTATTGAAAATACCCAAACTGTTTCTCAAGACTCAGCATTGAGAGCCGTTGCTGACTTTTTTTCGGGCGCTAATATCCATTATGTGACCCGATTTAGTGGCGCACGAATCTGCATGTACTTGTCAAACGAAGAATGTGTCAACAAACTTTGTCAAGAAGGGGGAAATAGTTATTGATGTCGAGTTTTTTCCAGTACGAAGATATGTTACCGGGGCCACAAATTTTGTAGTTTAAAATTTGCCCACCTGAGTTTTCTGATGACGACCCAAGAAACTGTTGGAGCCTTATGGTAGAATTGTTTCTGCACCATCAAACTCCGGTTAATACTTCTCATGATGATTTAAAAACATGAAATCCTGGCCCCGCTCAATTTACATAATGATACCCAGTGACTCAAATGACCCACCCAAAAGAATTTCCCATTGAAAAAATACTGAGGGACCAAAAGTTTTCTCTATGTCAACAGAGATATTTAGTGTGTGCACACTGTCTCGCACCAGGTCCATCAGAGAAAATTGCAAAAACTCCAAATCGACAACATCAACTTCCCAAATTTCAGCCTTCAGTGTCAACAAGACTCGTCAACACAAGAAAACCACTCCGCTCAACAGAAATCCAGGGGAACCCGCCCAACCTAACCTCTGATCCAACGACAAGTCTCTCCAGTCCACCCAACAACAACTGGCAGCCAAATAGTCACCAAACACCAATATTTGGGGGAACCCTTTTTCCCCAACAATTCAAAGCCATCCAACATCACTCAAGAAAGCCGCCTGCGTTGAACCAACCCCTGCCTCAACAAAAGAAAACCCAAAATTGTCGCCCCCTTTATGTATCCACTAGCTCTACTGAGGACACTGACTTTCAGGTTGTCAGCTACAATCACAAAAAGATGCTGCCCTTCAGAGTACCCTGTTCAAGTAACGGACACACAAACCCAGCAGTGCCAACGCTTCAGTCAAGAGAGTACTTCCCCACAAATGACGAAGATCTCACATCAAGCTCTTACAGTGGGGTGGTAAAAAGATAAGCCTGAGAGAAAAAAAGTCAAGAGAGCCAAAAAGCAAATAGCTGTCAACCAACTAATGAAGAAATGAAAAACAAATCATCATCCTAAGCCAAGAACATTTCCGCAGTTTTCTCTCTGAGTGTAGAGGGAAATGTAACTCAAAAGCTGTTGCATCTAAGTATACCAGTGACTTTAGTGCTTTAATTGCCAACTAAATGAGCTCAAATACTATGAAAAGATTTTAATTTACTAAGGAGACTAAAGCGTGCAGCTGAAGCTCTCATTTAACAATTAGTAAATTGTTATTTTTCCTCTCAATGTAAAAGTGTAAGTTACCTCATCTGAAAAAAATTGCCCCCAAAAAAAAAAAAAAAAATGAAAAAAAAAAGAAAAAAATGAAAAAAAAAAGGAAAAAAAAAAAAAAAAAAAAAAAAAAAGAAACCAAAAATGAAAAAATTTTAAAAATCTCTCTAAGTTAAAAAATGTAAAACCAGCACCAAAAACATAAAAATTTAAAAAAAACAGAAACTCTGCATGCATTTTGTGAAAAAAAAATTACACCACCCTTGGGCCCGAATGTGAAACAGAACCCCCCCAATAAATACTTTTAAAAACAAAAAACTCTCTCTCCTCTCCTCCCCAACCACACACATCCATCACACCACACACGAGGCTAAAAAAGGCCCCTCGCTCTCTAAACATCCTACTGGTTAAACACGGGTCGTAATTTTACCACTTTGCTCCCCCCTTTGCCACTGTTAACACGTGTGTTTGACTTTGGTTAACCATAGGGCCGGGAGCGAAAAGCCAGAGGTGGTGCAGCTGAAAAAATAAAAAACAACATTCAACAAAATGCTGAGCCCTGAAGTTACGTAAATTCATTAAAACAAGACCGTGGGAAAAGTCAACAATATCTAAGTTCCTGTTGAATATTTTCTGCAATAACTACAAGTGGATGAATAATTAAAATATTTATTTCGTGAAACTTGCGTGATGACCTTTCCGACAGTGTGACGACGCCACCCCCGCGACCCACCTGCGCTGATAGTCCCCGGTGTCGGTGCAATGACTGTGCAATGGTCAGAGTTATGCGGGCCGAGCGGTTCGTGAGCGGCCGTCCGTCAGATCCAAACAACACCCTGTCGCGCAGCCAGCCATTAAATTCTACACTGGAAACACCAGCGAAACAAACCGACTGGAACTGTGCGTTGCCTGTGTCATGACGGCAATAAGGCCAGAAGTTTCAACCGATTTAATTTTTTTTTTTTTTTCGGAGCAAGCGTGGCAAATGTGTACGTTTTGAGGTACTTTCTCGCGGGGTAGCCGGTCTTCCGGCTCGGCTGCACCCTCGTCCCGAGAACGTCTCTGGCAGTGCACCCGGAGCGACCCGGAGAGCCGCTGCCGAGCGCTGCCGGGTGTTTGCAGAGGAAATGTCCGCTTGGCAGTATCGAGTCGTACTTGTCATGCCGAGCGATGACGCGGCCCGTACTTTTGGCCGGACGGCCGGCGCCGGGCCGGGACCCCCTGGGCGGCCGCTGGCGCATGGCTGCCCCCGCACTGCCGCCATGGCGAGCCATGGCCATGGCTGGCGAGTCTTTGGCCGGCCCGGCGCTCTTAAACAATCCGCATGCGATGCTAGCGATGCTAGCGCCGCAGCGCCGCGCGGGCACTTCTGGCACCACGCCGAGGATAAGCGGCAGATAAGCCCCGGTCGATTGTTATATTTATTCCCCAGAAAGCGGCGACGGAAACGCTGCGGCAGCGGCGGGACCGAAGCTTGTTTCAGATTTGCGAGTGCCTCGCACGCCTCACTGGTTCGCCCAGTCTGCGTGCGAAGTTTACCGGGGGATTTTCGGAGAAACGCGACTGTTCGTTTCCACGCGTTTTCCTGTTTGCAGGATGACCGCCGCCGACTAATGACGACGTCGATGGAGTGGCCCGGCGTCGCGCTGCTGCTGCTGGCTGCGGCGGCGGCCGCGGAGGTCGCCGTCAACCCGGAGGCCGCCGTCAGCCCGCGGGCCCCGGAGGCGCTGCAGGCCGCGTGCGGCGGCACGCTGGTGGGCCAGGACCACGGCGTGCTGCAGACGCCCGGCTTCCCGGGGCCCTACCCGGTGCCCCTCAAGTGCACCTGGATCCTGGACGCGTCGCACCGCGTGGAGCCCAGCATCGCCCTGTACCTCAGCCAGCTGTACGTGCTGTCCGGGCTCAGCGTGACGCAGTACGCCTACTACGAGCGCGAGGACTTCCACATGGGCGAGCAGCAGGTGAGCGAGGAACAACAGCCAACGAAAACAGGGAAACAAGTGGGTGTACTACACGCCGCCCCGCCCGCCCCGGGCACGGCCGTGTTGAATCTTCCTCGTTGGCCAGACGCCGGTCCTCAGCGCGCTCGACACGGTAATGGCCCCACCACCGCCACTTAGAGCCACCGCATCACACGGTGCTCCACGGGGCCACCACGCCTGGGGCCGCGCCCGGGGCCCAGGCTGCGTCCACATCGCGTCCTACTTCCCCAAGTTTGGCGGCTTGCAAGGCGTCCCTGACCGCGGGCCTCGCCGTGGCCCGCCACCCTACCCTTGACAGTGTGGGCCCTTTTCTTCGCAAGCCCGCCCAGGCTCGGCCTCTCGCTACAACGAGCACACACGGCTCGTACTACATATCAATGACGGCCAGAAAGTTGGCGGCAGATAAGCGTTTCGGAAACTCCGCCTCTCGATTGCGGAGCCGTTTGCTGCGGTCCCCCACGGGGTCCCCGCGGTCGCCGCCCGTTTAACATATCACCTCCAGCTCCATTTCTCAGAGGGCTCGCTGAAGATGGCGAAGTCGCGAGCCCTGCCCCAGACACCCGCCGTAATCTCTGCCCCGCCCTCCCGTCTGGAATCCCCCCCCCCCCCGCGGCCCAGATTTTCCGCGTTCCCTGATTGGCGGAGCGCGGCGCCGGGGAAGGCCCGGCATTTTTAAGCGGGACAAATAATGCCAAATTATCCGGAAAATTGGCAAGTTTTCGGACTCATTCTCCACGTCAAACACTCATTTGTCCGCTGAGCCGCGCCGCGCTCCGTTTAAATTACGCGCCCCCCCTTGTACTCCGGAAGAAAAACCGGCCGCCGGATTCTGAGCGGCGGGGCTGCCCGTCTCTCTCGCACTCGTGGGGCGTGCCGGCGCGCAGTGTGGGTGCGAGAGAGACGGAGCGAAGCCAGGGCCGGAAGTGGAGCGAGGGCTGGCACTGCCGCACTGGAATTTCCGATCCGGTGTACAAGTTTTTATTCGGCATGTCACGGCGCGGAGACGGATCGATATTCTTGTGTCCGAGGCGGGGCGGGCGGGGGGGGCGGGGCGGGGCGGGGTGGCCAATGGCGCGGCAGGGCGCGGCCCCGAATATTTTCCGAAGGATGCCCATGCATTATTCATCTCATTTTATGCCGAATATAGTGGCGGCGGCGGTGTCTGTGTCTGCGGCGCGCCAAGTACACTGTAAAAGGCGTGCTCGCCTTGCCCCGCCTCTTTGCGACATGTCTACTTTTACGAGAGCAGGTCACAGACTGATTCCGAGAGTCGTTTCCGTCGCTCTGTCTCTGTCGCGCCGGTGCGCTCCTCGAGTGCGAGAAAGGCAGAAGACGACTTTCAGACTTTCAGAGTCCAGCCATTCGATTGTCCGCGATGATAACGCATCCGCTGCGAATCATGCTCACATTTTTATTGCGTTTTTTTTTCTTCCATTTTAGGGTAAGTACCGGAACCGCTTCGACGCTCGAGTTTTTCTGCGCAGTGCTCTCTGCGCGCGCGCGAACTCCTTCTTGCTTTCCCTTTAGCTGAAAACGATGTTTATTTATCGGGTCGGAGCGGCGCGATGAAACAGGCGCCGTCCGTACATCGTCCTTATACGAGCCGCGTAAGTCAGAGGCGCTGACAAATCCCCCAACTATAATGGAGAGACCGCGTACATCAGCATGAGTTTGCGATTCTGGTGGCGCGGCGGGCGCGGCGGGCGTTGGGACACCCCCTCGGCTCGGCCCGCGGCCCTCGGCTCGGCCTCGGCGGGCTTTCCCTCATTCCGTTCGTGCCACTTGCCATTGCCCGTTGGCCTCCTTCTCCAAGATCACTGTGCTTTCGGGGACGCGCGCCTCCGCGACTCGCCCCGCGACGAGAAGGGACCAGCAGCACGGAAAATGGAAAAGGTGGCTGGATTAGCAGTCAATGCCTCCGCTTTCACTGTTTCCGGGGGAACAAAACCGTAAGGCGCCAACGCGCGAACCAAGGTCACAGCGCACAGTGGGCCAGAAGACCGGTGGAAGCGGTCAGAATCCCGGATGTGTTTTGAGCTCCAGAGTCGCTAAATGCCACTCGAACCGAACGTGTGGCCCCACCAATGGATTGCTCTCCGAACGAGGAATCCATTGGTGGGGTCGGGGTCACACGTTCGGTTCGAGTTCTGCTTAGTGACTCTGGAGTTCAAAACGCGTCTAGAGTTTTGGCCACCCGCGCCAGTCTTCTACCCCCCGTGGCGCGGAACGCTCGGATTATTTGTATCGGGGGCTGACCGTAAATTTGGGCCCCGCGTGAACTTGGCCCAGCCACACAAACCAGCCTCGTGCACTGTAGGGGCTCGTCCTTGCGCTCGGCGTGGTTCGCAGTGCGGCAGCAGAGACGCTGCCACGGCGCGCAAGAAGGCCCTGTTGCGTGCTCTGTCTCTCTCCGGCCCATCCGCCAAGGCCGTCTGTCGCCAAATTTGTTCTCCTGCTCCAATTATAGGGCCGAAAGGAGCGCCCCCTCCGTCTCTCTCGCTCTTTCTTCCGCCGTCAATGAATCCGCTTCCTCGTCCTCGGCGGGGCGACGCGACAAAGGGAATCGACTCTGTGGTCGCGATGCTGATGAAGCGGCTGTACAAATTGCCAAGACGGCCATCATTGCGATTTTTCGTCCGGGTGAAAATTTGCAAAGTCAATGTTGCCATGTGAGCGACCCGCAGTGGGCCAGAAGACCGGTGGAGGCGGACAAAACTCTAGACGCGTTTTGAGCTCCAGAGTCGCTAAATGGGACTCGAATCGGGCGTGTGACCCCACCAATGGATTGCTCTCCGAACGAGGAATCCATTGGTGGGGTCACACGTTAGGTTCGAGTCCTGTTTAGCGACTCTGCAGCTGAAAACGCGTCTTTGGCCGCCTCCACCGGTCTTCTGGCTAGTCCACTGTGGGATGGTGTAACCCGGGCAGCTAGAGGCTGGCGCGAGTAAAGAACGACACTTGACGTGACGGCGGCGGCCTTCCTCTCTGGCTAGTGTCCTGTCGGGCGGCGTGCGGGGCAGCGCGGGGCCTGCGTGGGACTGCAGCCGCCCAATTTACGATTTGCACTCCGGTATCGGACAATGGGCACCACACCATTGTCGGGCATCATGGGGGCAAGGCCCTGGCCGGCCCGGCCAAGGCCAGCCACAACACGCCGGCCGGGGACAGTCCCCCCCGGTGTTGAATAATTCGAGTGGTGGGTTTTAGGGTGCGGAGGAAGCGGAACGTCTGTGCGTTGTGTGTTTTCGATCTGGGAAGCAGCTGGGGAATGTCTTTGACGGTCGCAGCGGCCACGAGACGTTTGTCATCAGGAGGAAAAGACAAGCGACGGAACTGGTACTGATAGTTTTCGCGAGAGCAGTCGTTCAGATTCGAGCTCACAGACCTTTTTAACAATTATCAAAGCCGGGCGCGCGCGGCACGCGCGAAAACGGGCAACTTTTAACTGCACTCCATCCCCTCGGGCAACTCGTTTAACAACTCGAAATGATCCGCCGGCTTGCGTTCCCTGCTGTCGGCGCGTTCGGGCCTTCGGGATTTAGCGCTTGCAAGTCAGAACTGCCTGATCGCTAAGCCCCCCGCTCTGCAGCGCGCTCTGCAGCAAATCGAAGCGTCTTCGAGATGTGCCGCGCGGAGCGGAGCGGGAAGCGAGGCCTCTGCAGGAAATGGGATACAGCGCCACTGCCTGCCGGCTGGAGCGATTCGCCCATTCGTTGCGAGTTCGACAACTCGCCGCCTTTCCCGGACTACCAGTTAGCCAAGGGCCTAGCCTAGGGTGTAGCCAAGGGCCTAGCCAAGGGCCTAGCCAAGGGCCTAGCCAAGGGCCTAGCCAAGGGCCTAGCCAAGGGCCTAGCCAAGGGCCTAGCCAAGGGCCTAGCCAAGGCCTAGCAAGGGCCTAGCCAGGGCCTAGCCAAGGGCCTAGCCAAGGGCCTAGCCAAGGGCCTAGCCAAGGGCCTAGCCAAGGGCCTAGCCAAGGGCCTAGCCAAGGGCCTAGCCAAGGGCCTAGCCAAGGGCCTAGCCAAGGGCCTAGCCAAGGGCCTAGCCAAGGGCCTAGCCAAGGGCCTAGCCAAGGGCCTAGCCAAGGGCCTAGCCAAGGGCCTAGCCAAGGGCCTAGCCAAGGGCCTAGCCAAGGGCCTAGCCAAGGGCCTAGCCAAGGGCCTGGAGGAATTTAGTGAGCGTGAAAAGTATTGCCGCAAATGACAACTTAGCGTCTTCTCGGTTCCACAGTGGGCCGATTCTACCTTTCCCAGTCACTTTGAAATCACCTCAGCCGCCGCAGTAGATTGAAAGCAAACCTGGCGCGTCGAAAACACAGCCGCGCTGCGCGGCGTCAGACACAGTCCCTGTCAGAGTGTCATGTTAACAGCCGGTGTGTCAATAAGCCTTACACTGTGCCACTGGATCCCCTGGCCCGCCAGCCCCGGCTGTCCCGCCTGCCTGTCGCGCCTCCTTCCCCTCTTTTCCCCCGGGGGGGGGGGGGTATCGGTTGGCCCTCCCCGCCCCTCCACCGTTAACGTCAGGTGCAGCGTGGCGTGGCGTGGCGGCGGCGGTCCCCTCTCCCCCTCCTTCTTCTTCTTTCCGCGGGGTGCAACGCACCCGGGGAGGCCTCAGCAATTTTCGTTTTGCGTGGCCCAGCGCGACAAAAGTGCCAAACGAACAATACTCCAAGTGA